ATCTCTCTCCAACACTACTACTCCCACCTACGAACGCCCAGCGCTGAAGACTACTCCTGCAGCTACTACCGCCCAGCGCTGAAGACTACTGCTAGTGCTAAGCTACTCCTGCAGTGCTGCTGCCAAAATCCTGAAGACTGCCTCCTGCCTTCTGTCCAAACTACTTTGCCTGTAGGGCGGGCCAGTCTTCTATAGTGCTGGCCCGTCCAGGAGGCTGCTCTTGCCAATGCCCAAACGTGCTAGACCCTGAGAAAGCTTCCGGGAAGTTCCAGGTAACTTCTGGCTAAAGCCTGAGGAAGCTTCCGGGTTTCCAGGTAGCTTCCGGCTAAAGCCTGAGGGGCTATAGGCCCTTGTTTGCAGGCTGTCAGGCTGAAACGACACGGGGTCTGTAGGCCCTGGTTTTCAGGCTGTCAGGGTGAAACAGACACGGGGCCTGTAGGCCCTGGTTTTCAGGTCGTCAGGCTGAAACAGACACGGGGCCTGTAGGCCCTGGTTTTCAGGCTGTCAGGCTGAAACAGACACGGGGCCTGTAAGCCCTTGTTTCTAGGCTTTTAGGCTGAGACCGCGGGACGGGCCCTGCAGGCCTGTGTGGCTGCGCAGTATGCCACACCCCCCCCTCCTTGAAAGACCGAGCTTACCTGTGAGGGCAAAGCTGTCTGTCTGAGGGAGGGACCACAGTCCGGGTGGGAGGGGCAGGTCGCGAAGTTCCCTGAGCTAACCGTTGCTTCTCGTAATGAGCGAAGATCAGCGGTGCGGATGCTTTCAAATCTGCTCTTGAAATCCACCGAGTGTCGTCGCGATCGCATGATCTGAATGTAACCTTGTACTGTCAAGGCTTCCTGCCGTACTTGCGATCGGTGATGACGCGGTCAACTTCCTGATGACCATCCATAGAAGGATGGTCCTGAGATCGTCGGCCCGGGAAGTCGTCGCTCTTAGCTGGTGTGTATGTCGCCAGCTTCGAGGCGTGAAAGACTGGATGGACCGTCAGATGCGGGGGAATGTTGATCACAAATGAAGGGCCATCGGGCTCATCGCCCGCGGCTGATGTTGCGGGCCATGGTCCAAACCACTTGGGAAGCAGTTTGCGTGAAACATCCTGTTCAAGTGCAAACTCTTCCGGGGAGACCCAAACCAGATCACCGGCGCGGATGGGACATGGCACGCGACGCCTGTTGGCTAGCTGCTGCATGCGGACTTGAGCCTTTTGCATGTCCGCGCGGGCTTGAGCCAGCAATTCCCTGTACTTCCGGACGGAAGCAAGAGAGCAAGCGGCGTCGACGTCGGCTGGTCGTGGGAGGAGAAGGTCGGCGAAGATACAGCCTTTCCGTCCACCGTGGTGCAACTCGAATGGAGTCACGCCGATCGCCGGGTGCACCGAAGTGTTGTAGGCGAACTCGATGTCGGGGAGGCGGTCAACCCAATCTTTCTGGTCCGGACGGATGAGCGTACGAAGCATCATTTGAGCGGTTTGATGTGCCCGCTCTGTTTGCCCGTCCGTCTGTGGATGCTGAGCCGAACTTGGTTTCATCTTCGTGTCGGACTCCTGCATGAGAGCAGTCCAAAATGCCGACATGAAGCGAGTGTCGCGGTCGCTGACTATGTCTTCCGGTACACCGTGGCCGCAAATCTAGTCGGTGTGCAAGAGGCGTGCCAGCTCGGGAGCCGTGGAGTAGTACTTGCAAGGGAGAAAACGCGCATACTTACTCAAACGGTCCACAACCGTGAGGATGCCATCGTGCCCGAGGCGATCACAGGGAAATGGTCCGGTGACATCCATGGCAATGGAGAGGCCGGGTTCCCGTGGGATAGGCATCGGGCGCAACTCGCCGTAGGGGTTGCGATTGCGGGGCTTGCTTCGTCGGCAAACTTCGCAAGAGTCGCAGTACCGAGTAACATCGGTAATGAGGTCGGGCCATCCGAATCGTTGTCGAAGCCGTGCAATAGTGCGGTTGACTCCGAAATGGCCAGGGAGTCGCGAGTCATGGAACTCCCCGAGAAGGCGAGTCCGAAGACGACGGTCTCGTGGGACACACAATAAGTCCTTGCCTCTCGAGTGGAGGAGGAAGTACCCGTTGGCAATGCGATAGTGGCTGGCCGGCGGGTGATCCGAAGATAGCTTCGCATACAACGTAGCGAAGTCCGGATCAGACTCATAGCCCCGGATGAAGTGTCGCTGGAGTTCCTCGTCGAATGCGAAGGCATGATGTGTCATAGCGCAAAGATCGGGTCTTCGCGGGAGTGCATCTGCCGCGCGATTGGAGAGGCCGGGGAGGTGTTTTGGTGTGAAGTCAAATTGGTCGATGAAGTACATCCATCGTCCGATCGTGCTGCGCACCGTATCCTGCGTTTTGTAGTAGGTCAATGGGTTGTTGTCCGTGACCCATGTGAACCTTCGACGCCCAAGGAGGAAGTGCCGCCATCGCTTGAGAGCCATCACGAACGCGAGCAGCTCCTTCCTTGCATCATCAAGCGAATTGATGGGAGGCACTTTGTGGCTGAAATACTCCACAGGGTGCCAGTCGTCATCGTCGTGTTGTTCCATGACTGCCCCAATTCCATAGCCGGAAGCGTCAGTTATCACTCTCGTAGGCAGGGTGGAGTCATAGATGCTAAGGACGGGTGCCATGAGCATGGCCGTCTTAAGTGCTTGGAATGACCGGCGTGCGTCGTCATCGAACACGAATGGCACCTTTGGCGATTGTATTCTCGTCATAGGTGTAGCAATCCTTGAGTATCCGGTGATGAATCGCTGATAGTAGCCCGCCAATACCATCAATGAACGAACGTCCGTGGTGTTGGTGGGCTCGGGCCATACGCGGATGGCCTCGATCTTGTCCGTAAGCGGACGGATGCCTTGCGGCGTCACGTAATGTCCCAAGTACTCCAGCTCTTGACGCGCGAATTCACATTTGTCGCGGTTGGCTTTGTACTTGGCTTGTCGTAGCCGCTCCAAAACGGTGCGCAGGTGCTCCACATGCTCGTCCAAACTCCGACTGTACACCAAAATGTCGTTGAGGTAGATAAGTATGAATCGATCCAGCATGGGTCGGAACTCCGTTGTCATAGCCGCTTGGAAAGTGGTTGGGGCATTCGTAAGGCCAAACGGCATAACCAGCCATTCGAAATGCCCACATCGCGTCTTAAACGCGGTCTTGTAGAGGTCCTCCAGCCGGATCTTGAGTTGGTGATATCCCAATTTGAGGTCTAGATTGGAGAAGAACTTGGCGCCGCCCAGCCGTTCAAGGAGGTCGTCGATGCGTGGAAGAGGGTCAGCGTTCATGACCGTTTGCGCGTTGAGCTTGCGATAATCGATGCACAACCGCAAATCCTTGTTCTTCTTTCGGACGAAGAGAACAGGACCACCGTATGGCGAGGAGCTAGGCCGAATCCAGCCTTTCTGAAGAAGGTCGTCGAGTTGTGCCCGTAGCACACTTAACTCTTCCTCGCTCATTCGGTAGATGCAACCACGCAGAGGTACAGCCCCGTCCTCGAGGATGATCTCGTGGCGGATGGGCCGATCCGGTACTACTCCGTGCGGGCCTTCGAACACGTCGCCGTAGGCGTCGAGAAGCTGGGTGATGCGTGAGTCCGAAGATGAGTCAGTCGATGAAGCGTCATGGGGCGGGAGGGCGTGGAGAAAACACACCCCCATCTCCTCGATGTCGCCTTTGGTGATGAAAGCTCGCATGCTTGCGGCGGACACCACGTGGCAGCTGATCGAAGGGTGAGGAGGAGGCACCGTGCATGGGACTCGTACTCCGTTCCGATCACGAACGTGAACGGTGCGGCGGTAGAAGTTCACCGAGTGATCCTCGCTTCGCAGCCATGACATGTCCAAAATCATGTCGAATTTGGTGTCCAAAATATTGAAGGACACCGCCTCGCTTGCATGCCGGGCAAAGTACACGGGGACGTCATCTATGCACCGGTCGATTGACTTGTGCGTGTGACCGTCTGCCAACGTGACTTGCGTAGGTTGGGACTTCCTCCGGACGCGTGGGCCAAGGCCGGCGCGTACCATAAAGTCCTGGCTCATGTAGTTGTGAGATGCTCCGCAATCGATCAAAGCGTTGCATGTCGCCTCTCCGATCTGAATGCGTACATATAACAATGGTGCGTCGATGTCGTCGTACCGCTGTGTCCTGAACTCGCGGTTGATCTTCGCAATCTAATTGTGAAGGTCGACAACCTCTACTCCGGCGTCCATCAACGGAGTTTGGTACTGCAGTGTGCAAGTAATCCCGCAGTTGTGCCATGAGCACGTTGCAATGCGGTTTCGGCAATCGACCAGACCGGGGAAGGGGCATCCATTGGAAGTCCGCAAACGTCAACGGGTCGAGCTCTTCAAGTCTTGACCATATTGTCGAATCCCCGGCTATAGATGGCGGCGAAGCTGCCGACTCGGTTGCCGATGGTTGTGAAACCGTGCATGCGGTAGATTGTTGCACGTGGAGCGGTTGGTCCAACGGTGGGACCAAGTGGACAGCACAGTCCTCGTAAGTGTACCGAGAACTTGCGACATTCGCATCCTCCCCAGATGTGTAGGAGGCCGCTAGCAAGGCGGTCGAATCATCTGGTGGAGTGAGAGATGGAGTCGCCTCACCTCCCGCGGAACTCAGTTTCCCGAGTTGATACGAGGCCGAACACCCTCCTTGCCTTGATCCGGGCATTGGGAGGTCTTGTGCTTGGTGTTGTTGCACCAATAGCAGCAGTCGTAGCGGCCGCGCCACGGTCAAGTGAAACTTTACCCACGGTGTTGGTTGTCCGTTTCCGGTCGGCGATGCGGTTTTCGCCTTCCCGTTTCCTCGGGACTTGTTGTTGCTTCGCGGCTGGACAACAGCCACCTGATCTCCCTCACGTGATGCTTGGGTGGCTGCCGGGTCTTCCACAATGTTGTCCGATTGGACTGCAGCGACATGCTGCGGTCGCGAACCGGTTTTCACCTTCTCCACATAGGTTGGCTGCCACGTTGACTTCTCGTGTGCAGCCGCCCTGTTTGTCTTGATGATCTCCCTCGCCTTGTTGATGATTTCGGCGAAGGTGTTGTACTGCTCGCGATCACCAAGCGCGAGGCTCAAAGCGGCGCATGACCGGTTGTAGAACTCCCGGCGCAGATGCGGAAATGGCAAGTCCAGATCAGGTGTAGCCACGATCTTCTGCCAATCCGTGAGCCAATCACGTGTCGCTGTGTTTCCTTGAGCCATCGTGAAGATGCGGTTGATGGCGAGCGCCGGGGCATCGTCAACGATGAACCGCTTCTTCCATTCTTTTGTCAGATCCTCCCTGGAGACCTTCTTGTGTAGGTCGAAGACCTGGACGCCATGGGCGGTTGCCATATGGCTGAGCCAGATCTGGCATCCTCCTTTGAGGTTAAGGAACAGTGCGCCGATGAACAGATGTTCCGGGACTTCATGAATCCCCAACTCCGTTGTGAATCCTTGCCACCAGACGACCGGGTCTTGATGTGTGTAATCGTCAAACTTCGCGATCCGGAACGTCGGCATCTTGTAATGCTTCGCCGTGCTGGTGCTGCGATCGGGGTCAGACGGTTGTTGTCGCTGCCTGATCTCGGTCTTCATTGTGTCCAGCTGCTGGCTGATGGTGGCTGGTGGCTGGCGCTGCGAAGGTGTTAATATCACCTAGCATTGCCACTACGTGATCGACACATTCCTCCACTTGGCGGGCAGAGGGTGCACTACTAGACTCGCCAGCCTCCGGTCTTGGTGCAGTCTGCTCCAAGTCCTGTACACGGGAATCAAGTGCCCGTGCTGCATCCTTGTGCTGAGCCTTGTGGTTCCGCACGGCCCGCGGGAGATTCGCCAGCTCGGACTGCAGGTGGTTACAGGTGTAAACCAGCCGGGTCACGAGCTTGGCCAAAAATTCCTTATGCTACTCCTCCGGTGTCGCATCGTCGTGCTCCTCGGAAGGTTCAAAGTGCCAAGACTTGAGCTTTTCTATGTTGGTGGCTTCATGCCGCTGTAGCAGATCCTGGGCCTCCTTGCGGCGTGCCGGGTATCTGCTTCAGCTTCGACTTGAAGTCGTTGTTTCTCAGTTGTTGCCGCCACTTCAGCCTGTAGGCGGACAGCCTCGGCTGCCACCTGGCGTTGTTCCTCAGCCTCGATTAGTGCGAGCTGAGTCTGGAACCGCTGTTTGTACTCGGCAATGGACTCGTTGGCCAGTTGGCCTGGCATGCCCAGAGCTGAGCCCGTCATGGTGGCGGGGCACTGCTGACGTGGCACTGCTGACGTGGCACTGCTGACGTGGCACTGTGGCTGACGTGGCATTGCTGACGTGGCACTGTGGCTGACGTGGCACTGTACCAACCCGGAAATGCATGCAAAGGGGTGGGTGGGAGGGAAAACGCAGGTAGGTAACCAACCCAACAATACTTTCCTCCCGGCCCTAATCAACAGATAAATAAATTTAAAAAATAAAAAAAGAGGACTACTTCCCTTTTTTTTTGTGTGTGTGTATCCGTCGATCTGTTATGAGTGGGGCATGTCAGAAGAGTACTATGAGCGAGATCTAGGCCAGGTTCCGCAAAGTTTCGGCTTTCACAAAAATGCGATCTTGAAAAAATTTTGCGAAATAGAGTAGAGATGCGATTTTCAGAAAAGAACTAAATCCAGTTTTTGAGAATGTGGCAACCTCCTAATATGCCTAACGAAATGCTGGTAGGCTTCGCAAGATTTCGGTTTTCCAAAAAAATTTTGCGAGATAGAATGGAGATTCGATTTTCAAAAAAGAATAAATCCGGTTTCCGAGAATATGACCACTTCTATCGTTATCCTAATATGCCTAGAAACGCAATGTTAACATCAGAAATGTTCAGCTATGTATGCAAATATCAAAGAAACGAAGTGCTACTATCAGGAATTTTCAGATAAAACGAAATACCAATATCAGAAATTTTCAGGTAAAACGAAATGCAATTATCAGAAGTTTTCAGATATTTGTTGCGAGAATTTTTTTTTTCCAGAGATTTGACGAAGTCCTACTTGATTTACTAATGAGTAATCAATAGATCAAGCAAGCTGGCTACTTGATTGAGCGGGTCCTCTGAATGAGAGGTCCGCTCCGATACCAAACTGTGGCATACCGTAAAGGTGCAGACCAGAACAAGAACCGACCTCTCTCACAAAGTACAAGATAGCGTAGCGGAAGACTTAGATACCAATGGTCTGAACAATCAATATTGCAATGCAGCCCTGAACATACATCATCACCATCGTTCCATGGTGTGAAAGGGGTCTGGCGCTTCTCACAGGAAGACTGCGCCAGCCCCAACCATACACAGACGAAGGAGATGGGGGTTAGACGAAGAAGAGGGGAAGATGGGGAATGTCGTCAACACCAAGTCTTCGGCACACGCCCAAATAGTCCCTCGTCAAAATGTCTGAATCCCAATGTCGAGTCTGGATCCCATGTCGTCAAGTCTCAAGTCACAACTCTCTCTTGCTGTTGTAGTCCGCTGATACTGAGAAGTCAGGTAGTGGGAGGGTGAAGAAAAGATGGTGGACTTAGAAGAGGAAGAAGAAGGACTCTCTCTCTCTCTCTCTCTCTCTCTCTCTCTCTCTCTCTCTCTCTCTCTCAGTCTGGTACTAACCTGTGAAACTGGCGCCTTGATGCAGGTACCTCGAAGATGGAGCTGGAGCTATGGCGCCACAGGTAAGTCTCACTGGCCTCCGCCAGCCATCTCTCTCCAACACTACTACTCCCACCTACGAACGCCCAGCGCTGAAGACTACTCCTGCAGCTACTACCGCCCAGCGCTGAAGACTACTGCTAG